AATTCAAGTACAGCACAAAACCAAACCCAGACCACAGAGGGAACAAAAAGCCCAATTTTCTGATTCCTAGCTTGTTTAGTTTACATTAGGGCTTTCAAGGAATGATCACTATTTGTTTTTGCAATTTCTCTTCAGACTTTGAGATATCTTGTTTTTAATCTTTAATGATAAAATCATGTTTTTTAAGAAAATGAGGCTTTTATCTAGTTAAAAACATTATGAGTTTTGCATAGTATTTGTTCAAAGGGATTTTTGCATGTACGGTGGGATTGTGAGGAATAGAAGATTTGTTTGCAGGGTGTCTGTTTTGATAATTTAGTTTTAGTCCTTCATTGTTACAATACTCAGAGGCCTCTGGGCATAGGTGACTAAATTAAAAATTATTATTATTATTATTAATAATAATAAATATGGTTGTTCAGATTATAAAACATGTTGCACAACATGAAATACCTCGGTTACAGTGCAAGGTCTTCACTGCACTGACTGGCAATGCTAAAAACCAGCAGTAAGCCTGCACCATAAAGAGGGTATTTAAACTAAACTTTAGTGGAGTTGGAAGCCAGTCCATAGCAGGCTTCTATCAAGAGGTTTTACTGCTAGTTTGCTGGGTCTTGTGTTTGTAGAATTTTCAGTTTCTTGGTAGACCCTAAACTTTTAAAGCCTTGAATCACAACTATTTATCACCCATCAGGGAGCTACATAAAATGTATTTTCCTTCAGAATGACTATTCTCATAAAAAAAAAAGAAAACTAAACTAATTTAAAAAAAGACAATCAAGAATATTTTTTAAAAATCTACAATATAGCCCAACTAACAGAGATTCTTAAAACTAAATACTATGAACCACAAAAATTAATGCCACCTGCAAGCTGTAAATATGTGTATTATTTAATTTTTTTCCATGTATTTTCTTTGGCTGTTACATTCAGCTGAACAAGGCCTAAAAATTGTCAAACTAAATTCTTGTTTAAGAGTAGAGCTCTAACTACTGCCAGTTTGAGTGAAACACACATCCAGGTTTAGGGAATATGTTTTATTTATTTTGGCTGCAGCGCAGGCTAGAACATTTTCCATCCCATCCGAATGCAGTCAAAAAGGTTTTGAAATATTGCACAATAAAAGCCATTCATTATATCTGTCTCCTCTCCCTTCCAAAAACAAAAATGGCTGACCAGTTCCAAATCTGTGCAGGGGGCAGGAAGATGGGAGTCAAGGGGTCACTGGAAATAACCCAAGACTAACACCAGGTTTTTCAGGTTTGAGTTAGGGAATATGTTCCATGCCCTCATTCCCACTGCACACAGGTTTTTCTTCTTCCCCCTCCAAAGCTTGGTTAAAGTAGTTAATTGCTCTGTTATGCACAATTTACAGGACTTAATTACAAAACTAATACATTAGCCTTCTTGTCTGTAAGTCACAGGCACAACTTCATCTTTTCCACTGGGACACAGTGAAATTAGACCTTACCTTACTTCAAGTTAAAACATTTGGATTTGGACTGTTTACCTCCTAATTTTAAAAATGTGAAATTTGAAGGAATACCCAACTACACTTTACAGTTTGTTTTTAGATTTATTTTCATTGCTTACCTACCTGTTAGCAGCTTGAAAATGAAATTTTTTTCACTGCCCACTCCTGTTCTTGTGTGCTTAAGCTATACTTGGCATACTTCATTAGCTTTTTTTTTTTTCTCCCCTCTCCATTTCCTTGAACATAGATCTAACAATGCTTTTCTGTTTGATTCCTTGTGCATAGATCAGTTCCTCACTAAAGTCTTTCCAGGTCTAAGGGAACTGTAAGAGTGTTAGAGGATTCAGAGTGAGGAGAAGGAAAAGTAGAGCACAAACATTTTAGTGCATTTATAAACAGCAATTAAATGAGATGAACATACAGTAGTGACATTTACATGCAACACTGAGGTGTTTCAGTTCCCCCTTCTATGGACCAATTGGGCAAAAGCAAGTAGAGAAAAATAAGCTGAAGACTTGATTAAGCTTTACTAACAATTGATTATCTATTTTCTTAAAAAACAACCCCCCCACACAACACTAAGGCATGTACAATTCTTGTTATTTTCTTTTCCTTACTTACCATGAGTGTCGGGTTGAGAAAACTATTTTACTGCTGTTAACTCATGTGTGAGAAAACTTGGTCATATCATTTCCGCTTTTGTAACGTATGTGCATTTTAACTATCGCAAAATATTGGCATAAAATAATTCCTGGAAAACACTAACAGTTTCCCTTCAAAACTTTCTGAAGAATTCAAGTATTGTCTCTTCAGCTCACTAATATTAAGCTAATTTAAGCAACCATGCCAACTATGAAATACTCCTTACTGCTAGTTGTCAGATATTCAGCTATCTGAATATTTATCAAGACTGCACTTCATAGGATAGCGCAAGAAAAGTGATATGTAATTACTCTCACTTATTAACGATATCATAATTAGAGTGGCAAAATAATCAGTCTTTCTAGGGCCCACCACTTGTCCTCTATGGCAGTCAGAGCATGATAATTACATGACAATCTGCTAAATGCAATTATTCGGCAATATACACTTACTGCTAGCTATTACCATACTTGAAGCCACTGAACGTCTATACAATGCAGCACTTAATGTCAGTGAAGTACTTTTAGAGACACAGTAATCTTTACAACAATCCTCTGAAGAAAGAACAAGCCTCCCTTTAGAAGAGTAGGGAGAGTAAATGAGAGGTGGAAGATGCCACTATAGTGCACAGACTGACATGGAGCTCAGTACAGCACAAAAAAAGTCAAACCAGTGATTTAAACTGAAGGCTACAAAGGCTACCCTTCACACTGGGAGACTGCATCAGCCAGCTCCCCAGTCTGACATACTGGGTCGCGATGCTTCACTGATCAAACACCACCACTCAGTTTTACACCGCTGACTTTGTGCGTTCTTTTGTCCGATGACTTTGCTGCAAATAAAACTGCAGGTTGTATCAGAGTGACTAAGCTAACCTACTGTGACAGAACACCATTAAAATCTACTTCAGATAGTGCTGCAATTAACAGCTGAAAACTAGAACCATCAACTCAAAGTATCTTGACACCAGCCTGCACTCACACACAATACCTTTATTTTAATACCTGCACCCCAGAGTGGCAATGAAGACAAGAAATTACTTCAAAAAGTTCTACTGTTGATTGAATAGGGATAGTGAAGTTGCTGGTCATTCAAACATTAATGTTAACTCCATTTTAGAAAAGCTAATCTGAAAATGGAACACGATTGTTCACTCTTCCTGTATAATAGCACAGCCACCCAGTTGTAGGTTACACTATGTCAAGGGTCTATAGAGAGGCTCTTCTGAGGAGCAGCGAGTCACACGAGATCTGAATATTTAAAGTACTAAGACCATTTTGCTAGCCTTGCATGAAGAGCTCTCTGTCAAATTCCCCAGTTCCATCCCATGCTAAACAGCCCCCAGTATTAGCAATTCTCCAGCTCCCTATTCCACAACAGATTCTATCTTGGGTCTTAACTATTAGGCAAGTCCCAAATCACCTCCTGCAACCCTAATCTCCAGCAATCAGAAAACAGCCAGAAGGGACCTCAAGAGGCCATCCAGGCCCTATTCTTACCCCTAGGAAGGATCATATGTCATTCCTGACAGATATTTGTTTAATCTGTTCTTAAAAGCCTCCAGTGATGGAGATTCCACAACTTCCCAAGGCAATGTATTCCTGTGCTCAACTATCTCTGCTGCTGAAACTTTTATGTTAATGTTTAACAGAAACATTTTTTTCTCTAATTTAAACACATTATTTCTTGTCCCATTCAGTACAGATATGGAGAACAGATTATTACCCATACCCCCTTACAACAACCTTCTGCATAATCGAAGACTTGTCTTCTCTCAGATTCTCTCCAGATTAAGTCCTGTTAACTGTAACCTCTTTTATTTCTCTGTAGGTTCCAACCTCACCCTCATGCAAGCCATGCAAACTGCCATCAAGCATCTCCACATAATTCCTAACAACCCTTTTCAAGCAAGCTCTGCCAGGAGGAATATCCAAGCTTTGTTCTGTTTACCCTTACTCTTTTATTTCTGACTTTACTTACACTTCACATTTAAAGTACACTTAGCCTATCCACTCAAGAAACCTCAAGGGAGAATTCTCTTCCAGTGCTGCTGTGACTGGCACATAGGACAGCAACATCACAAAAAGCAGATTCTAGGCAGCATTTTAGATGAAGCCCTCTAGTATCATACACACTAGTTAATTGCCTCTTTCTCCAGGACAACTCTTTACTTGACCTGACTACTCGAGTCTGGTATTCAGTATCTGACACCCAGTCTCCAAAGGATTCACTCACTGTAGATTTGATATCTGAAAGCTGTTAGGTAAACCCTAACATCTCAGCTGCACTGTAGTGCTCTCCTGTGTTTAGGAATGCAATGTGATTTCCATATAGAGAGTCATATCTGAATACAGCACATAAACATTTCACTTTTCCAGATTAATTCCAGTGCGTAGCCCAGTTGCTGTTTTGATTTTTTTTTAGTGTTACAAGTAGCACCTATTATTAATTTTAATGTCAAGGAGCTTTAGATTTTAACCTTAGCTACTATCTCTTCAAAGATCTTGTACATTAGGGTATTATTTTCAAATTCAGTTACAACCGTAAAAACTCATGTCAGACTGCCCTCTCCTGGTACACCAACATACTGCTAACACAACAAGAAAACCCAAGGAACTATTGCCCTTCTGTTCCCAAATCTAAAATTTTCATTGTGATACAAAAGCAAACCCCAAAATAAAACATCAAGGAAACTGTTTTGATAACTTCAGTAATGTTTCTAAAGCAGCATAAGATGAACAGCATTTAAGTAGTGAAGTTTCTTTCAAGTTGCCTTAGGAGTTCTTGTCTTAGGAAAAACTGATGATGTCTGTAGAGAAAAGTAAAAACATGCATAAAAATGGAACTGTTCTGTTTGCTTTTAAGCTTTATAAAAGCAGCCAAGTACATAAAGTATTTTATTCCACATCAATAATGTTAAAAACAAGGTCACAGAAGAGATCGTTTTCAACAGAAAGCTATTTCCTTCAAGCTGGCACAGGTATTTCACTAGGGCTGAAACAGAACAGTATGAAAAATGAAAGCAACAGCAAATGTTTAAGTAGACCACCTACAGTCATCACTTTTTATTACACTGTTCAAACTAGAAAAATGAAAGTAGTAAGATGACAGGTCAACTACTGAATAATATGCATTGTATTTAGTACATATATACCAAAGATTGGAAATGTCCAGAAATGAAGTACAGCTTTATTGTATGATGAATGTTTCACTTTACTTAGCCAATTTAATTTTAAAAAAATTATTGTTACATACAATAAAAATTTAAAAGCTTTTTTTTTTTTTTTAAAATGACCAACCTTCACACCAGAGAAGCAAAACTCTATCCCCCTGTTCATGCCCAGAAAGTAAAGCAAAGTCTTTTCAGAAGATGGTAACCGCTTCCCCGCCTCTACTCTTCCCCTTCAAGCCAGAAGTGATTTCTTTCTTATTTGTAGAGAATCTCAAGGGCTTTTTGAGGATAGTTTTGAAATCTGGAAGAAAATTCATGCAGATTTCAAAAGCAATTTATAAGGAATGATCAAGCACACAGGAAACATCAACACTTCAAGCAATTCTCGCCGTAAGGACATACTTCACAACATCATGGTTTAACTACTGAAGATAAAATCATGTTTTATCTACTTCAATTAAACTAAAAATATAACAAAATCTTAAGCTTGAATCATATTCTTTCAAATGAAGAGCCCTATCAGCAAAATGTGGATTAATATCAACTCCAAATCATCTAAAAAGTAACGTGTCACCACAGACCATATTTTTGAACTATGAAATTTGTTCCTCTTTACTTAAAACAGCTGGGAGTCACACATTTGCTGACATCTCTCCATTTAGCAACTGTAGCAAGAGGAGCAAATGTAGCCAGAGCGTTTTCTAAACACATCCAGTCTAATAATCCTGACTGTTTCAAGGGCAAAAATCCCACACAACTGTGCAGGTACCACAACTGTAAACATTTATACAAACACAAGAAAATCCCAAACTGTGATAAGATGCATACAAATTCATGCATAAACATTATTTAATTTTTATATATTGTCTTGCAACAGAATTCACTAGCCCCTACAAGCAATCCTTACAGCTGAGAAAAAATAGTCTCTGCCTTCTGGAAATGTCTGAACTTGGTGGTACAGAGAAAACTTGTAATTTGTTGAGGTTTTTATAATGTTAGGAGTGTTTAACTGCTATTGCTCTGTAGACAGCACTGAAGTATGAATACACGTAAGCAAGGACATAGACTACAATAAAGAGCTGATGTCAAATTTAATTCATGATGGGAGAAAAATTTTTTATCCTCTTGATTACCTGCCATGATTGTCTACTGGACCAATGCTCTGAGCCAAGCTAGGTCTTTCACACAGTTCTGATATTCAAGCATTTTAGGCACCAAGACAAGGAAAATCAGTTCTAAGTTAAACAGAAAATTAATAAAGAAATACTAAGTAAGGAAACATAAGTGTGAGAGAGAAGAAAACAGCACTTAGGAGAGTGAACATAAGAGTCTAATACTGACCTTCACTTTAGAAAATCAGAGGTAGCTGAAACCTCACTAAATGTTAGAGTTCTTTTCAAGAGGTATTTCTACTTCTTGGTAGTGTTTTGGGTTACTTCTGTCCTTCCTATAGGCAGAATTTGTTATGCTCCTTTTCCGGGTTTGAGACCAAGTTCTTGTTTCTTGAGGTGAGGATACAAACATGCTTTTTCTCCTCCATCTTTTGCAAGGACCATCATTAAGATTAAGAGAGTCATTGTTCTCCTTCCCTGGTGCTGAAAACAGGATGAGATTTTGTTCTTCACGGTGAATATTCTCAGATTCTGTAAGAATGGATGTGCTTATTGTTCTCCTGATTCTACAAGCAGAAGCTAGCAGGGGAGGCTTCCTTTGAATCTCATCAGGTACTTGAATCCATGCAAGCCCTTCCATTTCTGCATCTTTATGTAATCTCATGCTGCGCCTCACTACTCTTTCACCACTGGTACTGATCTTTCTTCTAAAAGGCTCTAAGGAGTCATTTTTTAGCTGAGGAACAGATAAGACTTCTTCCAAGTTAAAAGAAGAAACTGGAAGATTGTTTCCAGTTATTTCCAATTTTTCAACAGGAGGAAAATAGATGGCACTACAACTTCTTCTTCTTCGTGGACTACCTCTCACAGAACCTTTTTGTGGACACTCAGGTCTCTGGACATCCTTATGTACACTAGTGTCCTCTTGTTCCAGAAATTCTAGCCCAGTTAGTTGCTCTGCCTTATTTAGAGGATTTCCTTGTAATTCCTTGTTTTCTATCAAAGAACCACTTCCTTTTGCCTCTTTTATACATGCAGTCTCTTTACCTTCTTGGAAATAGTCAGATGTATCAAAACCATACTTTGCATCTGCCATAATGTTTGAAAACTATGGGGGAAAAAAAAAAAAAAAAAAAAGGGTTGTATTGTTTTTTTTTTTTTTTTTTTATTGTTTGTTTGTTTGTTTGTTTTGTTTTTTTAAACATAGGCGAAAGTTAGTCCACAAAAAAAGGGTTTCAAACAGTTGACAATTAAACAACTGTTATTGTTTTCCACACCAGGTCTAGTCATTCTCAAAAAAATCCCACCCAACCAACACAAAGAATCCTGCAGGTTGGAATCTGCTCCAGTGTGGGCCCAAACTCATGTCACTTGAGGCCTTGTTGAGTTCAGAATACCTCCCTTCCAAGGATGGAGATCCCATGGCCTCTCCAGGCAGCCTGTTCCAATGTTTAATCACTTAGTTTTTTTCTTCCCCCCAAGCATTACTTTTTTGATCCAACATCAAGCACAATTCTGACTTATTTTCTAGCAGTATCCTTAAGCATATTGGTTACCTTGTGATCAATGCCAGAAACAGACTTCAGATCACCATCGGACACCTGAAACACTGTATTACTGGAGCTGCTGGCTTCTCCCATGTCCAGGCCCTTAGAGCTTGAATACATGTGAACTGCACAGATGTTTTTCCCACTAATTCTTTCAACCGCTGGCTTCTGTTGAACATCCTTGCAAGCACTGCCAGATTTGGTATTATCTAAAAATATATCCTCTGAGTTAGAATAAACGCGTGATTACTTGACTCTACTTGAAGTACAAAATCTCTTTTAAATATTACAGAAAAAGCTTTATAGTATTTTACTTACATAAAAGTAACCTAAACAACCATTCTAGATAATTAGTGTAAAAAAAAAAAAAAAAAACAAAAAAACAAACAAAAACAGCCCAGAAAGCTACTGCACATCACTATTCATGCTCAACTTACCAGTGTTAGACACTATGAAAATATCAATATCCAGTCAAAGTACACAGAGGTGCGCTTTTTTTTTTGTCAGCTTCACACTTAGTCCAACAAGCGTTACATTTATGCAGTTAGAGATTATTAATCTATTAGATCCTCTGGACTCTACTGTTACAGAAGTAATTAAAAGTAAAAAACGTATATTGGGCTCCTCACCTATGCACAGAATTCAAGATAACTCTCAACATTTTTTTTATGAAACTGTCGAAACAAAAAATTAGGAGCAACATAAAGAGCAAGCCAAACCAAAACTAAAAACCACATTACCTGAAAAAAGTACATTTGCCTCTGGTGAGTTTGGAGATGAGGCAGAAGAGAAAACCTCTGGAATTTCAGGAATAGGGCTGAGAAGAGGTTTCTTAGAAGCCATCTCTCTTTCCCCATATAAAGATTTTTTTACTTTTTTCTTTCTTCTTTTCCCATAGCTTGTATGTTTTGTTTTCTGAAAAGATTGAGAAGACCAAATTATCCTGGACAATATTTTCCAACAAATAAGTAACACCATTACTGGATTTTGATGGCTAACAGTTGTTTCCCCTAAAATGAAGGCTCCACTCATTCTGCCATCTACAAATTAATCTAAAAACTCCAAGCAGGGGATAATTACTTCTCAAACATGAGATCTGATTTTTGTTTCATTTAACCGAATCTAGAAATCAAAGAAATTAGTCTTTCACCTCAAAACTACAGCTTCTTCATTCATGCTTAGTTTGAAGAGGAATGTGCATTTTCCCTTCCAATACATGAAAGCAAAAATCTTTTAGGAGTCTCACAGCTTTATAATACTTAACTAGCACGTAACTGGGCAAGTTCAAAGAACTACTACAGCATACACTTGGTAAAAGAACCACCATAAACTCATTTTCTGTCTGAAAGGTGACACTCCCCCCCTTCACCTCCACAAAGTATCCTTTTTGCCCTAAAAGTATTTAAACCTGGCTAGTCAGCCTTAACAAGCAATAAGGAAAAGGGGGGTGTGGCAGTAAGTGGAGGTAAACAAGATAGGCGTGAAAAAGAGAATATTGGCAAAAACAGCATACCTAATACCTTCTAGAAAATCTTTGTAATAAAGATCAAAATAATCATGTAAGACACAAAAAAGGAGACACACTTGTATAGAGAAATAAAGGCAACATCCACCAACTGCAGTGGGCTGTCACTTACTTGTGTCTTTTTGGCAGCAGATGTGGTTATATTATTTTGTCTTTGAAGCTTGTTCTTTCTTGGATTTTTAGTATCATTAGCATTCTTAGTATTTGTGGCTCTTGAGACGCTAAAATCAGTTCCCTCTGAAATGATTCTACACTGTTGACAAACATGAATTTTAAGTTGTTGGGGTCCATGTGTAAGTGCACATGCATACACTCGCCTTTTTAAAAAATACTCCAGAGTCCAGCAGTTAGAAGAATCACATTGTAATTAGTCTCTGTTATTTCATATACAAGGTCATAAGAGTTAGACACTCGTAACTGGAAATTAACATTTACAGAGCTAGTCTGTTCATCCAGTACAGTATAACCCTATTTGTGCAAAAATGACATCATAATGAGAAAATAGTAAATTTTCATCTTCAGTTATTTCTTTCAGAGAAGATGTGTTACTTTTTTGTATTACCTATTTTTTGCCTTCCCCCTCCCTCCACACTAGGAACTGTATAACACTGAAGTCTGAAAGCACTTCTTGCAGAATCATTGTACAATAAATTCTATGCATCTTAAAATTCCAGCAACCAGAAGATACACATGTATGATACTCTGCCTTATGGCTAGCAGAGAAAAAGGTTAACAAGACTGAAGGTCTGTCGCAGTGGACTTGGGAACACAACCACGTTTTTGGTGATACCAAAAGTCATCGCAGGCTGCAGAATAAACTTGACTTTATTAGCCTCTATCTCATGTTCCTAGATTTCAAAGAAATTAAACCAGATAGAAAAATCAGACAGAAAACTTTGTTTCCATTCTCCTAAATTTTCTGTGATTCTAAGTTTTTAGACTCCCATGAATGAAGCCACTGACCCTATCAATGAAACTATTAATACATCTCTTCTAAATTTTGTCAGACTATTTGGGAAAGCTCCTGGAAAAGTCAACAGAAATAGTGAATTTAAATACCAGATTATAACCAAAAAATGTTTTCAATAACTGGAAAATCACTTTCACTCAAAAATGAGATTTCCTTAAGACAATTACCTGCACTAACTTGAGACGTTTGCATATAACTGGATATACACAATCCTCATACTTGAACCTGTAAAAACTCTTTTAAGTATCAGGAGGTATAAAAGAAAATTCTGCTGAAGAAGATAAAAAAAAAAAAAAAAACCAAAACAAACAAACCATTATCACTAAAGAAGCTTACCTTTCTTTTAGTAGAAGAATTAGTTGTTATCATATCAGACTTGTCAGTTTCTGCTAATATATATGAAGAAAACAAGAATATTGATTCAGTTTCATCACAAAAAGCTAATCACATTTTGAGGAAATTATCCACAGTTTCTTACATACACAGTGTGTTTAGGCATCTTAGTATTGAGGACTATCAAACACAGCAAGATTAAAAAAAAAAACAACAACAAAAAAAAACCAACAACAACAACAAAAACCACCAAAACCCAACGGCTTGCTTTACAAAACAGAGGAAAACAGAAATTGTGAGGATTTGGTAACAAAATAATTAGCACTTACACAGCTTTCACATAGATACATGCATACACATGCACAACCCCCCTTCAATTTTCTTTGTTGTTGTCTTGCTTGCTATTTTAAAACCATCAAAATTACAATATCAGAGTCAAGATAGTAATCCCAATTACTTAAAGCAGTAAGTCTAATTAGATCAGCCACTTTCACAGAAAAATACCACAAGGTCAAATAACATCCAGTTAACCTAAATAACAGGTAAACACTGCAGCTACTGCAACAACCTTGAGAAGAAAGCAAGAACATTTAGATTTTAGCACAACTGAAATATATCCACTGTATAAAACAACAAAAACAAAAAATGCCTGTGTCATCTCTCAATTTCCAGATACAGAAAGACGCATTATCTAATGAAAAAAATACAAGTTGGGGTTACCTTCTGTATTTTCAACAGGTAAGGGGTCTTCTGCAGCAACAGGACCCTCCACTAACTCTTCAAGAGGCTCACCACATTCCTTTAAAAAAAAAGTTAAATCTTTTGGCAATATACTATACCAGATATATACTGAAAAACACCTGGTCCATTAGTGTTTGGAACAGCCAGGCAATTTTATTTTTTTTTCCTTAAAGAACGTGGCAGCTCATTTGCTGTATATGGCAAAAAGAAATAGAGTAGCTAAAGTATATGAATAATCCAAGGCAAAAACATTTCATGTGCTACCAGTATTCAACTTTAAACATAGCTCTACAGGCCAAAATGCTATTTAGAATTCATAAAGCAAAAGCAAAAGTTCTCAATCTCATTCTAAAGTTTCAAGTGGACTGTATTTTAATATTTGAGAAATTTCTTTTTAAAACCAAGCATACTGGAGGAAAAAAATTAAACAAAAATTGAACATTCATAGAGACTAAGTGGCTCTTTTTATAGCTTGGGAAAAAAAAAACACAAACCCAAAAAACTCACATCATTGCAATCAAAGTTTGGCTGAGGTAATGGTTCTTCAGTGAGACTTGACCCTGCAGAAGGGCTAGTACTCTGTAATCCTGGAAAACGGACTGGAGTTGCTCCTTTGCGCAATGGAGTATTTGCAGGCAAAGTTTTGTCAAATATTTCTGGGCTTAGAACTTTTCCAAAAGTAACTCTCTTCTTCTTTGGCATTTCATAACTATGTCTTTCAGTTTTCTCTATTGTAATAAAATACATAGAATGGTTAGTGAACTTAAAAGCTTTCATAGAGCAGAGACTTTTCAAGGCCTTTTATGGGTCTTAACATTCTCTTAAAAATCACACCATCACCCCCAACCAAAGAGCAAAATACCACCTATACCTGTCCTGTGGATTCAACCACAATTTTCACTATAGCTTTATTACAGTATCAAGAATTAAGGAAGAAAGAAAATAGATGACTAGAAATGACTAGCTGTTCTGCAAGTTCCAGTTGACAAGTATAAAATCTCTTGAAAAACAAGTGATACTATTCTAGTATGAGAGGCTTTCTGAAGCTTTAATGTGGAATTATTTTTTTTTTTTTTTTAAATACACATTATTTTCCTTGCCAATCTTATTTTCCACTTCATTCAGTAGGATGCCATACATGAGCTACTTCAGTGGTGCTTAATGCATATAATTCTTCACATTTACCAGAGAGGCAAAACCTTATGAACCCACATATTGCTCTGCCTATTTAAAAAACAAGAGGAATCTAACCTGTTTGCAGTGTGTCAGAGATTTCCGCACAATTGGAGACTGCAGGAGATTCACCTCCTCCTCTGTCAACTGCATCATTTGAGTATTCCTATCAAATTTAAGTGATACAATCACCTATTCAGTACTACAATTAAAATATTGTCCATGTTCAAATCAAAGTGAAAACAACTTTTTCTGTAAGCAGCATTTAATAATCAGTCCTATTGTTTAAAAAAACTACTTGTTTTCTAAATTAATAAAACTCAGCAACATACATCTAGATCTTCACATCACATGAAAGCTTCAAAGCTTCCAAGATGACCAAACAGCAAACAGATATCCACTGATAGCATTGAATTGCTTCTGATGCATGTCAATTACTCAAAAAGTATCTTTAACCACGATTCAACTTCTGGCAGTTCAATAATGACCGCAGAAGTTCAGCCTTAGTATCAGTACTTCCATGTAAGTCAGTTAACCAACCTTCGTGCTCTCCATTAGTTGCTTCACTGGTGTTTTCTTCAATACGGATCGCAGATGGGAGCCACTCTGTGTACACTCATTTAATGAAATATTTCTCGTTTGCAGTGGTGTGATAGGTGGCTTGCTTTCATCAAATATTTCCAGGCTCAGTTCTTCCACAAAGCTAACTTTCTTTCTGCTTAGATCTGATATAACATTACTTCTAATGTCTTTACTGATGTGGTCAGAACTGAAATCTTCAGAGCAAGTAGACAGATATGACAATTAAGGACTGAAGTAAAATTGTGAAGACTTTAGTATTAGCTACATGAACTATAAATGTACACATCTCCATAGATTCTGTGCAGCAACATCACCAAAAAATCCCCTTATTTCTAAATTTCTGCTATTACTGTGCCATATTTACAGGTCATTTTCAGAAATTTAAAGTAAAAAGAGGAGCACTGTATGAAGGAAAATTCTCATCCATGTAAATTGGGGGGAAAAAAAAAAATCTATTCTTTAATGTAGAGAGAGGGACCCTGTACATTAACATCCCTCTTTCCTTCACAGGCATGAACTACTCAATTATATTTTTCCCTAAAAATGGCCTGACTAGCAAAATTACAGAAAACTCTAAACAATCTTTCCCAGCCTGTGTCTCAGTTTGAGCTTGCTTTTTCTATCAGAATCAAACTGCTAACATACCACCCAAGAGGCCCTACCCCACCTTCCAAATATAAAAGCTATTTCCTTCCTATGAATTGTGCTTAACTAAAACCATGTTTAAAGCTATGCTCTACTGAATGAGCTCTGAATTCAGTTTATAAACTGGGACTTGAGCCTCCTCTGCAGCAGCTCTTGAATAGATCATTATTTGCAGTCCTTTTTTTTTTATTGTTCCCTCATCAGCCTTTATGTCAAAGTTGTATCAGATTTCTACTGCATTATAAATTGTAGACAAAACAACAGACATGGGATGACTGCTTGTGAAACATTTCCTTACATATCATACAAGTCTAAGTATTTTTGTTTTCTAATAAGAATATAACAAAGATTTATAAGAGTGATGAATCCTCTTACCATGGCCTGTTTCTAAGATATCTCTAATTAGAACAGCCTCACAGGACTCAATAGGATTGTGTTGCTCATAAACCCATTCCTAGAGAAAAAGTTACAAGATTTTATATATATAATATCTCTCTCATCTATTTATATACACACCCAAACAACATGATAAAGAAATAAAAAACTATTTGCAAATGTTGCCTTTTAAAATAGCATGAACTATAGAGTTTTTTAACCTCATAGACAAGGATTTCAGTTCTCAGTCATCCACTACTTCAGTTGAATTTATTTTCCCAAAACATCAAGGCTAAATGCTTAAAAAGATTAGACATCAGAAATGAAAAAAAGACGGAATGAAAAACCTGTATATTTTAATCACCGATTCAGGCAGGTTTTTTCCTCACCTCCATACAACTGTTACACTATCACAGCTGTTTTACAGCTCCAGCAGCATCAGAGGACACACCTAGCAAAACAGACCCCGTCTCCACATTTTATGCCACTAATAAATGGGCCATTAGAGATACTGATGTAGAAGACAAATTAACTTCTCCATCAGTATAAAAGTATATAATTTTTTTGGTATGAAATATCAAATAACTGCCAAGCAGACACAAGGTGAAGATTAAGAATTACATTCAAAGTCATCCCAGTGATGAATAAATTTTTTTTTGATATCTGAAAAAAGCTGTATTTGCCAGATCTGTGAATGTGACATCTCACATGGTTACAGCTGAGGATTCCGAAGAATCAAGACATACTTAAATTTTATTATTAGAATAAAATAAGTTTTTCCATCTGAATATCAAAAGAGAGCATAATCTTACTGACTAGAACAACTTAGAGCATCCACACTGATCATTTACAGGAAAACTGAGCCCATCCTCAGAAAAGCCAGCAGCAGGTATCGGAGGTTAGGCTGTATTCATGGTCAGTCCCACCATATCAGTGCCCATGCCAGATTTTGCTTCCTTTGACTTGTCATAATAAGATGCATTATTCTTACAAGAGAGATTTGCTGTGCTACTTGATTTCTCCATGTGCTTTGCCCACACTTATCTAAGTACCTCTGAAACAGCAGCAGCAGGTTCAGCGACAGTCACATCTTGACATGGAGACAAGATGCTGCAGATCTTGATATCAGATTTACTGCTGTTGGTCAAATTTTGTCTTAAACTTTCTTTGGAATCAGCTCCACTGTTGTATGACATGAGCTTTTCACTCCACTGATCCAGGTTCCGCTCTTTTGTAAAAGGTACTTTGTTGTGAGCTGCATCAATTAAACCCAAAACAAATAACAAAAAACAAACCACAAACTTCAGGTTTTCAATGAATGCTCTTTCTGTGTTTCTTCATCAAAAGGACAGTGAGATTCAAAAAGCTAGGTAATTTTCTAGTCAGGAAAAAGAAAACATGCATTTTTTAGTTCTACTTTGAAAGTAACATTACCAAATCTTCAAAACAAAGCAAGTTACTCTCTTCATATAAATGTTATTAAGAGCACCAATACCAGAGAAGTAATACAGTATCATCCTCTCACAGTTACTACAGCACTGCCCTGACTTGCTTTTGCAATACTTAAAATTTCCATTAAGAAATAAGGATGCTAACACCACAGTAATGTCATGTGATTTCTAAAATTACTGCACTTAAAAGTTATTAAGCAAAAGTCTGCACATCACCATCAAAAGAGGTAACAGTTACAACTGCTAAAACCAGTCGTCATAAAAACCATTCTGTTTCATGGAAGAAGTGTGAAAACACCAACGCTTAGTGAAAAGTAAATTAAAGGGTATAAATCTAGAAAGTAAAACTAAGAAAACAGTCACAAAAAATACTAGTCTTCATTTTTCTTCAGAGGTTATTCAGAAAAAACAATATTCAAGATGCTCTAAGAAAAAAAATAGGTTTAAATGAATGAAAAACCTCAAACCAAACATAAAAAAACCTGTGCCAATCCTTAAAAAGGGAGATTTTTTTTTGTTTTATATTAAGTGTTTGTAATTTTGTACTTTTTGGCCTACAGGAAGGCATGATGTTTAAGATAAATCATTGACCAGAAACACAATCAACTTACACGAGCCTGCTTCCTGGGAAACATCATCCACTTTCGACAGGCCAGAGAAGCCAGTCGCCCCCTCAGCTTCTTGTACTGATTTAAACGATGCTTGAAAGGCATTGATCTTGTCCTTCAGCGACCTGACATTTTCATGTTTAAAGGGACTAACCTGCTAAAACAAAATTAACCTCATGAGACTTCCCCCTGCCCCCCGCCATTATGACAGAGGCTTTATTACTTAGTATTTGTACTTTGGCATAAAACAAACTCAGAGGAGTAAATCTTGTATTTAACATGGCTGCAATTTTTGTTGTATGATAAAAATATGCAAAAAAGAAAATCTGTTATGTTCTACTACCTTTCCTAATCGGTCCCTCTAGACCACATCCAGAATTTGTTTACTGACTAGTCTATACTAGTTGAAGTTAAGAACAAGTCTGATTAAAAACCACCTCACTTATGCTAGTATTTACTTTACTTTGAACTATCAACACTTTAATTAACCACAAATCAAGCATGATAAATGCAGGAAAGTAAAGGTTGTGGTAAACAAAAGTTAAAATACATGAGCATGGAGAAAAGACTCCAGACTCTACACAAACAAAACCTCTAACATCCCCTTATTCTAAAGCAAGGTGTTCAAGGGAAGCCAACAAAATTAAGGCCATGGTTATTCCTTCTACTGGCTTCTTCCTGAGACTTGGCTTCTCTTTCTGCCAGATTTGATTCCTGGGAGGAACTAAGCATCAGATGTTTGAGAAAGACTCACCTGTGCAATAGCTTCTTTTTGCCTGTCACTTCTCTGTTGGGCAAGGTATCGAATAAGGGTGTTATTTTCTGGTGACCCCCGTAATCCAATTGTTGATCTTCGTCTAAATTTTAATGAAGTTGGAGACTTCCCTGAAATGGCGACAAGATAAAAAAAAAAAAAAAATTTTTTTTGGTAAGAACACCTAAAGCTTTAATTTTTTTTTTTTTGTAAGAGTGATTTCTGCTATTTATGAAAACATCCTTCCTGACCAAAAGCAAATTAGTTTCCTAAAAGCAAGTTAATATTTACTTAAACTATATACCAACTGAGAAGTTGTCTTTTTTTTTTACTTTTTCAATTGCTAGTAAAGGGTCTGTCTACCAATACTTGCAGAATTTGTCTTAATACTCCCTTTTGAAACTCACATGACACCTAAGCAACTGGACAGAAAAAAGTTAATAGGGAATTAAAGCAACATTGTATCACAATCCTATTCTTGGGCATATTCAAACCCAGCCAGACAACTGGAACTTGACCTAAATTGAAGCTTTCGATAAGTGCTTGGGCAAGATGACCTCCAGATGTTCCTCGGAGACGGACAACAGTCATTAGTCACTCCAGCCTTACCTATAGAGTGTTTAGTAAAACTTTCTTGAGTAATTCCAAATTCAGCAATTGTTACAGCTGCAAAATCAACAGGGTTTTTCCTCTGGTTCTCTGACATTCCAGAGTCAGGTATTTCTTCTGCTTTTTCCACATTACATGTCAAGTAGCCTTCAGCCCCCAAAGAAACACGTCTACTTCCTGAAAAATTTTCCTTACTGCTCAAAGGCAAGGTGGGTTCACCAACTGTATTCCCTTTTAGTTTATCAGAAAAGCATTCAGTGAACCCACAGCTAACAACATCCTCCTTCTTGTGGTACGATTCCTTCTTGAGGCCTTCGCAATATTTCAGGGTGCATTTTTGCAACTGCGCCTGGTTCCCATCATTTAAATTCTCCTTCTTGGATGCCTTTACAGCTTTTGACTTGGCCACTTTGCAAATCTTCTGGTCTTTTGACTGATTGGGGAAAGAGGCCTCTTCCTTCTCTTCAGTGTATCTACCCCCATTTTCTTTAATTTTCAGGGGAACATTTATATTCTTAAATCGTCTGTGCATTGTTAGTGACTTATTTTAAGAAACATTTAATCAGCATTTGCTCTCCTGTAATCACATACCTATCAAAAAGAAAAAAGAGATTTTAAATAGGTATTTGGTAAGAGCAAGAGTTTGCATTCTCAAGCTTCTACAAATCTAGGCTTTTCCTGTAACAGAGCGTGGTGGAAAGGGAAAGTCGTATCTCCAGAAAGCTACATAGACAGGACACAAAGGGCTAGCACCATAACGGAAAATGCACGGCAATATAAACCTGCAAGAGGTGTTTAACGAGTAAGGAAATACAAGGCTATGCTTTCACCCTTTATAAAACTTATAATCTCAGTTAGTATAAAATGTTAAGCATAATCACACTGGGATCGTTCTGCTGTTTTGCAACAAGCATTAGCAGTTTAATACTAGCTGCAAAATTTCAGACACTGCTTGCATTTCGCTTCTTGGATTTTAAGTTAAGCATGCAGAACTCAATAACGTCTGTCTGAAACTTTGGCTCCACAAACATATGCATTTTCCCGTATTTTGCGTAACACGAATCAAGCTGTTAAACACCGCGTTCGGAACTGTTTTGGGCTTGTTTTTTTTTTTTTTTTTTTTTTTGTTTTGTTTTTGCTTTTTTTAACGCGCACGTTAAAATGACATGCCTCCATCTACCCGGTCATACAATCGAGAGGCGATTGTGGGAGAGGTCGGTGTCCAACACCGCCCCAAAGGTTCCCCCCGGCCCCCTCAGCGCTCGCCCCCTTGCACCTCGCTGCCCTCACCCACACACCCCCCTCAGACACCCTTCCGACATGTCCCCCCTCACCACCCCCTTCCTATCCCCCCACCTTACCCCTCACGGCCGCCCTCACGCCCGCCCCAGCACTCCCCCACAGCCGCCGGGCCCCTGCCCGCCTCCTACGTTCAAACCGGGCCGCAGCGCTGCGTAGCGCTGCGTATCCCTCCGCGCCCTCGCCCCTCTCGCCCCGCCGGCATGGCGCCCAAAGGCGCATGGAGGGAGGGAGGGAGGGCGGCCCAGGAGATGCCGGGCCCGGGTCGCACCCCCACCCCGCGCTGGCGCCGCTTCACGGCGAGGGAGACGGACGGACTGACGGACGGGGGACTACTTGGCTCGCTGCGCGCGGAGGGATCGCGGACCGTTGCTCACGCCCCATTTTGAAAAAAAAAAAAAAGGGGCAAAACCACCACAAACGGTTCGTTCAACGTGCGGCGCCCACGTGCCAGGCGGGGCCAATCAAGGGCGGCACTGCCTCAACTCACGATAATATCGGGATCTGTTCCTCTCGATTGGCTGCCGGCCAGCCGCTCCGTGGGCATTTCCCCGCCCATCCCTCCCCGCCTTTGCCCCGCCACTGCGGCGGGGCGTGCTGCCTATTGGGCAGCTGGCTGGGCCGCGATTGGCCGTGGCTCATGTCGCTCAGCGACCGCTGCCTTCCGGGTTCGGCAGGAGGGCGCGGGCTGCCGCCGCCGCAGCAGCATGAGGCGGGTCACGCTGTTCGTTAACGGCAGCCCCCGGAACGGGAAGGTGAGGGGCGGGGAGGGGGGGTCGGGGTCCAGCCGCCCGCTCCTCGCCCCCTCTTCTCCCTCAGAGTAATCCCTCCTCCCTTTCTCTCGCCTCAGTAGCTGGCGGGGCGGGGGGGGGGTAGAGGGTTAGCGAAACACCGCGGTGTCCGTGTTTTGGCTCCCGCCGCTTCGGGACTCGGTTCCCGCCTGTGGGTCGGCGCCGAGGGGGAGCCCTCAGCCGCCCCTGAGGGCCGCGGTGCCCGGGGCTCGGCTGAGGCGCCCCGCTGCCCCCTCCCCGGCCTCGCAGGCGGCTGCCGGGCCTGCTCCTCCTGCGGCCGGGGTGTCCCCTCCGCGGCTGCCGGGGAGCGCTGAGGGGAATCGCCACAGGCCCGAAACTTCTCACTGGAATCGCAGTGAAAGTCGCCTTCGTATCGTTATTGAATCAGGTCCTGCTGCGCACGTCCTGGGTAACGGTGGGAAGCGTGTGGGTTACCTGCGGCAGGATGGCAGGACTCCGCCGTGTCTGATGCTGCGTTGTGCGCTTTCTGTTGAGTAGCCAGTAAAATTGTTTAGACTCCTGCTGGCTCGTTTAAAACCTACGTAGCAATGGCTCAAGAGTGAAAATAGTTCAGGTTTCTGGGCCCAACCAGTGCAGAAATAGTCCAGTCAAAGGCCTTGTGATGCAGTTGTGCAAAATGTTGCCCATGAGCTGTGATTTTTCCCATCCATATATTGAGTGAAGACAGTTAATAAGGTGGTAGTGTAATTTTTGGTTTTAGAGAGGTAAATAAACTCGGGAGAGACTTGGAACCGAACAGAGAGCAGTCTTTCTTTAGAGAAGTAAAAACTGGAATCATAATACTCCTGTAGTACCAGCATTCATTTTTAACTACTGCTGCCACCTTGGTATGTTGAGTCTTGGCTGAGAGATGTGCAAATCACCCCATTTTAAGGCAGCTATGTTTCTAACGTCAACTTTTGTTTCCTTTTTTCGGTAAAGATCCATATATACCTTCCTCCCTGCAGAAGAAGATACTGGTAGCCCTGGTAACAAGCTTGAAATGGCAGAAGCTATCTGCACAGGGTGCCTATAGCTACCTCTCTTCCACAGGTTGTGGCTGTGTATGGGACTTTATCAGATTTGCTGTCTGTGGCTAGTAATAAGCTTGGAATAAAAGCGACCAGTGTTTACAATGGAAAAGGTGGACTCATTGATGATATCGCTTTGATTAGGTAAGGTTTATCCAATAAAAGTCAAATCACAGATGGGGATTAAAAGAGTTACTAGCCTATTAATCCTCTGACCTTAGTCAATAACCAGTGTGTTCCTTAAAAACAGATCTTATCGTTGCCAGGCAGTATACCCAAAGGTGCTTTCATGCCTCAAGGAAAAATAATACAGTCTTTTGAACTTCAAAGCATTTCTGTCTTGATGAATCAGAACTTGATACAAGCTGCATTTTATGCTTTTTAACATCCTCCTGTGTTGATTCACAATGCAATGTATATACCAGGAAAATCCCACTATTTTAGTCAGCACTTGGATGAGGTTTTTTTGAAAAGGAGACAAACTATAGCATTGCTTTGGCCGCAGGGAATACTCCCAAGAGTGCAGAGAAAAAAGACTATTTTATGAAACTAAATTGGTAGAGTAACAAGTGATCCCTACCTGGTTGAAGCTCTGTGGTGAAGTCAGTCATACTACAGTCCACTGGAACCTGCAAAATTAAGATAAAAATCAGATACTGAAGTTCTAACTAATGGCAAATGATGATCGTTTACCTGAAACTAATTGGGCAGGTTTCGCACTGTCACTTATATGAACAAAAAAATAAGCATAATTTTTTGTTCATATAAGTGACAGTGCGAAACCTGCCCAATTAAGCAGAATTTTTTGTTCATCTTTCTCTTCTTCACCTTTCAGGGATGATGATGTTTTGTTTGTCTGTGAAGGGGAACCATTCATTGGTAAGTCTCTGCAATTCTTATGTGGAACAGGTTTACTTTTGCTTTAATATAAATCTAAAATTTTATTCTGTGGTGGTTTCAGAAGATGCCTCTTACTGTATGGAGGATTGAGAAATATTCACATTTTTTCTAATAATTACTGTGTCTTCCTCATCTGTGTAGATCCTCAGACCGATGGGAGACCTCATGAAGAACTAACAGGGTCACACACAGATTGGTTAACTCTCAATGTTGGAGGCCGATACTTCACCACTACACGGTAAAAATGCAGCTAGTTCATTTTGCTCTTAAAGGCGTTGATTTCAGTAGTTTTCGCAGCTGGTAGTGTACATTCAGTTGGCGAGGCTCCAGATTCTCTTGCAAAAGAGCTAGAATAATAACTTACTGTGGAGTAGGAGGTCTTTGACTTGTGCAACTTTCTCCTTATTTCATATTTGCTACCACGATTCTGAAGCAAATTGATTCTTAAAACAGTTCACATATGAAGTAAAACTGGTGAAAAGCCTGAACAGGCCTGGATTTATCCTTGGAATGTTTCAGTTAACAAAGTGCTTTGTATTTAAAATACCTTTATGATACCTCAGGTCAGAAATGTGTTTTGTTATCACACTATATGTAATTAAATCAGAACAGTGTTGTAGCTTTGGGAATGCATATCACACACCGAGGGCAGAAAAGACACCAACAGGCAAGTTTGTCTCTTGAGGAAGGCATTCCGTTTTAAAAATAAAATTGTGCTGCCTTTGTTTTCTAGGAGCACTTTGGTTAATAAAGAACCTGACAGTATGCTGGCCCACATGTTTAAAGATAAAGGTTAGTATATTGAAATAAACTTTATTTTATAAGCTAACAAATTAGCAAAAGAGGCCAAAGGCACCTTCAAGTTGAGACTCTCGTTCATATGTTGAAGTATCAAAGCAGAACATATAATTATTTATTTAATAGTTGTTTATTTCTCCATTGCCCATGTAATGTTTATCATCTCACAAACTGAAAATATAACTTTCATCCATAGTTAATATTTTGGGGTCTTTGATTTTTAGATTATCATCTTATTGTTGTATCTTGCTCAGTTTTGTCAATGGGCAAATGCTGTATGTGACAGCCTTTAGGAAACTAAAGTCTTCATGCTGCTTTTATTCTAGCAATGATTCTTATGTATGTGATAAAGTGTTTTAGTTGTTTGTAGCAGGAGTGAGTTTGTTGTAGGGGGACTTCCCCCTCCCCCCTCTTATTTTTTTCCTTTTCTCTAAGAAACACCCTTTCAAGTGGAACGTTTCATAATCCAGTCCCCTTTGGTAGTAAAAATCTGAAACTGAAGCAAATGCTCTTCTATTAATACATCAAATTTAATTATATATATGTTGTGGAAACAGATGCTTGGGGAAATAAGCAAGATCATAGAGGAGCATTCCTAATTGACCGCAGTCCAGAGTATTTTGAGCCAATTTTGAACTATTTGCGTCACGGACAGCTCATTGTAAATGATGGCATTAATTTGCTAGGTAGGTATTACCTGTATGACGTCTCCTAAATTATTACTCTTTAGAAATTAAACTTTGCCCTCAGGTAAACATGATAAAGTCAGTGGGCCTTCTGTACGCTCATCTAAATGTTTGGGATTTTTAGTTGGTGAATTTATTCTCAAGCATTGCAATTCCACATGCTTGGTTTAATGAAGATACAGTGTCTGAACTTATTTGTCTTGAGAGCGTTAAAAATTCTTCCTTCTGGATTTGGTATCTCTAACCTAATACTGGTATGGGAAACATCCTTCCTGAGTTATTTTTTCCTTTTAGCTGCAAGCAAGCTCACTTTTCCTCTATGCAGTTATATCTAATACAACGTATGTGGTTGTCAGTTTTATTAGCATAGGCATTTCTTCGAGACTCCTTAAACCTCGACAAGTGATCTGTTCATCTTTGTTAGTGTAGCTAAAATGTGTACGAGGTGTAACAAGTAGGGAAAGTCGATTGAATTGGTGCTCCTCCAGTAGTAAGGATGGATTAACCCAGTTTCTGGCTATACACAATCTTCTCCAGTAAGGGAGGCAGAGTGCCCTCTTGTTTAACGACTCTGTGTAAATAACAAATACTGCTTTGTTTTGGTAGGTGTGTTGGAAGAAGCCAGGTTTTTTGGTATCGATTCACTAATTGAACATCTAGAAATAGCTATTAAGGTAACTTGTTTTTTTTTAATACATGAATGCATATGGCTTGTTCTTCCAGGCAGTATATAATTTAGTCCTATCTGTATTAGCTTTTAAACAACTCTCTCAACAGAATTCACAGCCAGCTGAGGATCATTCTCCTATATCCCGAAAGGAGTTTGTCCGATTCCTACTGGCAACCCCAACCAAGTCTGAGCTGCGATGTCAGGTGTGAAAATCCAGACTTTGTCTTGCTCTGTCGTGTCGGTGTCTGGTGGTGAAATACCCTGTGGCATCATGTGACAACATGAAATGCAAACACTGTGTGCTTCCCCCCTGCTTTTTAATTGAGTGTTGATTCCAAGCTGTGGCAGAGCGACCTTAATGTGAAATTGAAGCGCACTGCTGGCTCTGCTTTCCTTCTTTAGGTTGAAGGTTTCCTGGGGGAGGATTTTGTTAAGCTATTCTGTTTAAATGTAAAATGCACTAGTATAACCAAGGACGATGCTTGATAACTTTACACTTACATTTCATTAGTCTTATGTAGTAAAATAGATGGTCCTGTGTGTGTGTATCTTTATCTCTGTGTATATTTACATGCACATGTACGTATACACGATTCTGTTAACTGTGTTGTGTTCAGAGCTACACCTCATCTTCTGTAACTTTTTGGGGTTTATTTTGGTTTTAGGGTCTCAATTTCAGTGGAGCGGATCTTTCACGTCTAGATCTTCGATACATAAACTTCAAGATGGCTAACCTAAGCCGTTGCAACCTAGCACATGCCAACCTGTGCTGTGCAAATCTGGAAAGAGCTGACCTCTCTGGATCCGTGCTTGATGTAAGAATTGTTGCATCTTGGAAGGTCTGGGCTATCCTTTAGTTATTTTAAGGGAAGAGGGATTGGAACAAGCAGATAAGTGTAAAACATGTAGTTCTTTAATGTTTTCTGCAGTCGTTCTAGTTAGCTTCTAAAAGCTTTTGAAGTGATCTATCATAAGGAGAATAAAAAGCAGTCGGTGAGAATTATCTGCCTTCCTGATGATACAAAAGTGATAGTATAGCAAGTTCTTCCACTTCCTGACAGTAACAAGGCTGCTGTGCTTTAATGGGATTCATTTCCAAAACAGAAATGAAAACTATACTCTGATCACTTTTGGTATTGTTCACCTTTGCAATCTCACCGACACGTCTGTCTCTGTCAGTGTGCAAACCTCCAAGGGGTAAAGATGCTGTGTTCCAACGCAGAAGGAGCGTCTCTAAAAGGGTGCAATTTTGAAGATCCATCAGGCCTTAAAGCTAATTTGGAAGGTAAGTTTTTGCCTGTGGAGACTGAATTGTGTGTTTGTAAATCTACATGGCGTGTGAAAGGCTTAGCTGTGGTTTGTACAGTCCATGTTTTCATGAGATGAAGCCAAAAATACCAGACGGAGTGTGTGACCATAGTCATTAAATTCCAAGTTCTACCTTGACCTCTACCAACTTACATGGCTGTGAGGAAGCATCACTCTGGAGCTACTGTGTTTCTGATTCTTTTTCCCAATAAAACTGCTCTTTGTGTGTTTTAGGTGCTAACCTGAAAGGTGTTGACATGGAAGGCAGTCAGATGACAGGGATAAATCTAAGAGTTGCAACACTGAAAAATGCAAAACTAAAAAACTGTAATCTTAGAGGAGCAACTTTGGCAGGAACTGATTTGGAAGTGAGTTATGATTCATTTTATATACTAACTAGTCAACTGATTTTGGGGGATTGCTGACTTTTGGCTGAGTTCTATAGCTTCAGACTAGACAGTGAAGTATTCTTTTTTCAGTCTTGGTGAGCTATGGATGATCTCATGACTCGCCTTTCATTCTGGCCTCGGTTTGGAAGGCCAGTTTAGTGTCTTGGCTTTGCCAGCACCTCAGAGCCACAGGAATGGCTTGTATCAACTCAGAAGTGATGCATGGAAATACTGCTGAACTTAACTCAGAGTGTGAGACCATGCCATCACGGAAAGACTGAAGAGAAATACAGTTGCCTAGGTTTGTGGGTTGGGTTTTTTTGGCGGGACATCATTTGTAGAGTAATGATGGAATCTTACCTGGCTGGTGGCACGTGATACACTGCTGTCTATTAGTTAGAAACTAGCTGGTTTTACAAGCTGCATACATGGCTGTTCTTCCTCAAGTACTAGAGAAGTATTTGGAGTAATGTCTGGTGAGATTACAAGAGGCAGCTTCTTTCTTGCTTTGTTCAGCAAGCGTTAGTAACTCCTGGAAGATAATTTGATATAAAGAGTGTAAGGCAACTTAAAAATAAATCCAGCTGTTACTGTGAAAAGGAACTATTCTCTTACAAGAAGCAACTAAAACTCTTAAGTGATAGACTGGAAGTTTACACTGAAATTTATGGAAGTATATGTTATTTTGGTATAAATGTAGTTAAGGTAAAGCTTTGAACTAACTTCTGGGGTATATTCAATTAACATTTATTTTCTTTTACCCTTTAGAATTGTGATCTGTCAGGTTGTGATCTACAAGAAGCTAATTTGAGGGGATCTAATGTAAAAGGAGCTATCTTTGAAGAGATGCTGACACCTTTGCACATGTCTCAAAGCGTCAGATAGGGAAGAGAATATTCCGAAGAAGAAGGAATCAAAACATTTATTGTGACTTTCTTCACCTCCTCCCCTTATTAAGTTAGAGTAATGGTTATTAGACAACTTAAATTTGCAGTAGTGCCTAAGTAAACTCTTCTTTGATCACTTCTGGGCAGAGGGAGCTGTTGTTTGAGAGGTAGAAAGGGACAGTGTGTCTACCTTAGCGAACAGAGTGAGGAAGTGGGCTGCTTCTAGAACCAGAATGTGTTGCTGGTTTGGGGGGGGGGAGCATTAAATAGATTCATTGTTTAGCATTGCCTCACTTTGGAATGCATTTTAATTTATCAAGCACAATATATGCAATTCTATTTATTAAATTGTAGCTGCAATATAAATAGAAAATGTTATTAATGTATAGTAGCAACAAAGTTCAGGTTTACAGTTAGACTAAGTGTATTTACAGTTAGTTGATGCGTTCGTGCACAGTGTATTAAGAGACAGATGTGGTTTAGACAATGTCCACAGGATGTTTTCAGGTACTCTTTTCTTCTGGGGTGAAAACAGTCGTTATCTGTCATCATAGGTAATATATTGCCTAGGAGTAGTTCGAATGCAGGTATAGAACAGCACTATCAATCATGGCTGGTAAGAAGAATTCTCTTGCTTTCAAATATCCTAACTGCTCCAACCTGGAGTACCTGTAGATTTTTTCATTCATTGTGGGGAATTAAATGTACATAGGAAAATACAAAACTGTCACCAAAGCAGAGACGAGCACCGGGGCCGCAGCACCCGCTCCGTCCTCCCGTCATTACTCCAGTAAATGAATAAATGGCACCTGTTTCCCCTCGATGTACTATGCAAATACTCGTGTACACGTTTATCCTTGAAAGCGTGGGCATAATCCCTTCCCAGCCAGATGTTAGTGCACTTTGGGCCTGCTTAAAGTGGCTGTAAAAGCATCTTGCGTAGCGCAAAGTGCCCTTTCCACAGCTGCTTTACTGGTGAGCAACTAGGGAACTCTGTGACTTGGGCGGTGCAGAAAGCCTCACAGCATCTCTTGAGTGGTGGTGCACTTCATTTAATAAGCTGATTCCACTGTAGTATCAATCTAGTTCTCATCTAACACAACTTTTATTTTGTATGCAATCAAAAAGCACAGAAAGAAACTATACCAAAAAAAAGAAAGGTGCATCAAGAACTCTTACCTCAGATGCTTACTTAAAATACCCCAAAGTTAAAACTAACCTTGAATCTAAGGAAATACAGCTATTACTGGAAGTTAAGAGCCAATGTATCCTACAACTTACAGAATGGGACACTTAGTAGCAGTTTGGGTTCCACAGTTACTTCGGTGGCTTGTCTTTATGTGCAGTGCAGACTTCCTGTCCTCTCAACAGAAGTCGTCTCAGCAGTTGTTATGAAAATGCTGCTTTGCCATCAATCTAGAAAAGATTAGTTCAGGACCAGTATATGATTTGTTTGGGGGGAATTGCAGGATTCTCCCTTATTTTTGAGTTGGGTTGACTCAGGCATATAACATGAACTTCTGGGACTAAAAATCCCACAGCAATGGGGTTCAGAATTGGGATTTTTATTTCCTTTGGATTCCCAGGCCTCTTGATCTGGCTCCAGGACAACACCGTATCCTCAGTGAAATACACCTATAGATTCAAGGGAAATCTTTCAGTGTGATTTTTGGAGTCCTTGCTCCCACCTCATCGCTTTCACTGAGAGTGATGTGTATGTTGCAGTAGAAGAAGATTCCTAGGGCTAGAGAAATAAATGAATTATTTTTCTTTATCATATTTTGTAGCTGGCAGAAGTAAAATATTGTATGGAAAAATCTATTTTCATAATCACTGTGTATAAAATATATTTGAACTTTCACTGAAGCACTATGTTTTGAATAATCACAGCATGTGGCATCATTCATTCACAGATGAATTGAAGGTACCTCTTTTGCTATGACACAGCTGTACGAATAGCCCCAAGTGGCCTATTCAGAAGTTGCACGTTCCAGCCTAATTGAAATTGCATTAATAAAAGTGCGAAATATAAAAGTGTTTTGGTTGTCTTCACTGAAAAAAACAATCTTATGTGGCTTATATGTGACAGCAAGTTAGAAGAGAACACAACTTTTAACTTGGATAGCTCCTTGTATACAAACTTTTTTTGTAGCTGAAGTTGGGTTTGCCCTCTGTGCGCCCTTGACTGTCACCTTAGCCAGGACTTGTAGGTAACAAGCGCTTTCTCAAGTGGGCTACTTGTAAACTAGGAATTACCCCTGCTTGAGTACCGACTTCAGGAGAAGACTGTTTTAGATGTTATTCCTCCTGCACAGGTACTTTGCACTATGGCAGAAAGCAAATTTTTGCTTTTGAGTGTAAAGCTTACCTGCAGGAAGAAAAGTCAGTGTACCTGGTGCCGGGGGGATTGCTGCAGTGTTTCTGATACGTTCAGTTTGAGAACTTCCATGGGGGTTTGCTGACTTGTCATCCATCTGCAACCCTTTTCAGCTTTTCTTTGTTTAATAAAATGTTAGAAGTCATTAATCACAATTTACATAGGTATGTGTGCTATTTAAAATACTTTCCACGTTACAGATCATCACACAGCACAAGCAGCTAAACTCTGTCTCATGTAATAAGGAAGTGCTAAAGCACTCCTGGAAGAAAAAAAAACGTCCTTGATTTTGGTCTAGAGAGTGCTCATGATTTCTGTCTAATAAAGTCTGTGGCACAAGTGATAATACAAATACAGCACATCTGCATGTGTGCTGTAGAGCACCCTGAGCCCCAAATTGGAAAAAATCTAGTTTGTTCTTCAGTTTCTCGCCTCCAGCACACACTGCTTGGGGTTAGGAATGCAGTCTAAAAAGCCTAAGAGACTGCAGAGGTTGGGATCTGCCTTCCCAGCGCTGCTGCTGAGAGAGGTCTTGGTTCTTGGAATGGGAATCTACAAACCCCAATTTTTCTGACAAGTCCTTGACTTCCAGGTAGGTACTTAACAGCACTGGCGGGCATTAAGATTTCTCTCCCCAAACCAGAACAACTGGCACACTTGAAGGTCTGGGAGCTCTTCTGAAAAGTCTACATCAACCATATTCCTGTGTCTGAAAAGTAAAGAGAGCTCCCGTGACAAAAACCCAGCTTCAGACTTTGATTTTTTTTTTTTGAGAGCACAAAGCCGGCCCAGACTGAAGCACTCCCCAACCCTGGATCTAGCTTCCATTCAGGCTCGGCCTCTGCCGAAATCAGTTTGTTGGTTTCTGTTACACAGGCCCCTAAAAGCATTTGTGGGCAAACAGAAACAGCTGTAAACTTTTTTCTTAACCTCCCAACTGCTTTATGTAACTCACAACTGTAGCCTAGAGTTTAAGAGACGCCGTGGACCCGCTCGCTAACCAGCGCAGTCGCATGCCCTTCCCGGGGAGCTTTGGTAGGTGAAGCTTTGTCACTACAGCAGAAACCTGTGGAGAAACAGAGTTGTGGAAAGATGTGAAGGGTAGGCTGTCGTTAGGCTTAGCTTAAAATGGTGGGTTAATAATAAAAGGTGCAATTATCGGGCTAAGCGCCTTTAAATGTCATCCCTCCAGATGAACAAAAAATCTTCTATTTACCTTTAAATAACCTTAATTTTTGCTAGGCTCATCAGGGAAGGAAGGAATGTTAAAACACTGCTACGGGAAAAGCTCACTTCTGTACGCTGAAGTAACATTTCTCCCCCTGGAACGAACGATTTTCACAGCTTGATCAGTTTATCAGTTAAATGTTGGCTACTCTTGCCATGAGTAGGAGGAGCATTAGAGCAGGAAGAATTACTCTTTGTTAGTCACTAAATCCTCCTTAAATTATTTACTTATTACGTTACTTTTAATCCATGAATCTCAAAGAGGTCAGGGGATCAGGAAGACAGACTGTCTGAAGAACATTAAACGTGATACATTCAATTGCACACACACCAGTGGGTAACAAGTCACAATAGCTGCCAGGTGGGTAAAAAAAAAATTAGATTTCTGTAGTCAAAATTACTGAATGTAACCCCTGCATGCAAATAGTTATCAACTCCTTTATAAAACTGCAGCGTATAAACTCTCAAGGATGAAGACCATGCATACGCACACGCACACATACATGTACATACAAATGCAGGACACTAGCAGAGTCAGGGAGTCCTACTCCTGTCAGAGATTCCACCGTGACAACAAAGCCTGTTTACAATCTAATGTACTCGTTCATCTGATCAGTTTAATACTACTTTGCATTTTATAGAGCAAAGAATAGCAAGGCACTTTAATTTAAACATTGAGGACATTGAAAGGAGCACGCAAAACGCTCTGTGCCCTTGTGCAACCACCAGCTCTTGTTTATGCACCAGAAGTCTGCTTCCTTCGCTCCCGATACAGACTGAGCTGAAGTCCTCAGCCGTTTCAACTCCTGTAACCGCCTCTCAACAAATTCAAACTCACCCCAGAACTTTTACTTAAAAATGAGAAGTCACTGAAAGAAAAGACTCCGTGTTTTCCACCCGGCAACAGCAGTCAGTCAGGTTTGAATGTCAGATTTACAGCCTCTTAAAAGAAAGGCTGTTACTTTTATGGTTCTTAGAGAAAACAGCTGAATTTAATAGCTACACCAGGGGTGTTCCAATTATGTGCTTTACTTCTGCTGCATTATAGCAATTTTAAGAACAAAATTGCAGCCTGTGAGATAGAATTAGATAAAGTTACCTGCTGTGAAAGGTTTGGTGTTGGGGTGGTTGTGTATATAAAGTGAGATGACAAGCGTACTGGCAGGACATTTGCAAACGGTGAAGAGTTGGAGTCATTCTGCAGCCTCTCTCGGCAAGCGGGTAATGTGCTCGAACAACATACCATATTCCCTTTTTACAGTGCTTACAGATGCTTGTATTAGAAGAAACTCGCATTAGAAGAGACTGCAAAGGGCACTTTTTAAGGAGCAGGGACATTAGAACGGGCTAAACACATCTGTCAAATATCAACAGGGACTTTCATGGAACCTTTGAGGTCCAGACATTCCTAAAACTCTGACAGGGTGTTCAAAAATCCTAATTCAGATCTTCATCCAAATTTTTCAGATGTTAAATCTCTTTATAATGAGCTAATCCACACTCCGAGATGCTCAAAATCCAGCTGTGGCTCACACACAGCCACAATGCCACTGGGGTGCAGAAAATCAGAACTGGAGATCCAGAAATGTAACATTTTCATAATTCTGTAAGATAAAAAAATGGAGCTGTAATGTCATAATGATCAGAAAGATGTTTTGTTCTTTCACAGGATGGAGAAGTCCAGGAAGATCTTCGTCAGTGTCCTCCTGTTTGTCATGTCTGTGGAAATCTGCTTGGCTCAACACTGGTCCTACGGCCTGCAACCAGGAGGAAAAAGGAACGCTGAAAACCTGGTAGAATCATTTCAAGAGGTAGGTTCTAGACTGTAAAACCATCCTGTTGTTTTAGCTAGGATCCCTTATCTGCAAAAAAGAGGTGGCATAGGCTTTACTATCTATGTGTACCTCTCTTTCCCCCAAAATATACATACATATGTACATGCACACACACACATTTTTTTAAAGTAGTAATTGGAAAGTAATTAGCATGAGGGTGAGATGACATTTGACAGCCTTGGATAAAGAACAGTGGTGCCTTCTGTGGACAGAGAGCTTGGGCAGCCTGCTCTAAAGGAGAGGTGGAAGCCTGAGTTCCAGGTTAAACCCAATTTCATTCTCTCCCAAAGTTGCAGCCACTCCTCGGCTGGGCTGTTTAATGACAACATTCATCCACTTCCCTGAGAATGTGGCAAGGGGCAGCTGTCATGTAATGAGATGGTAAGCAATTAAGTGACAAAGCAGATGTGGAAGGTTCTGTCCACCAGTGTTTTCCCATCCTTTCCAATACTTCATGTATAGTCCCTCGCAACAGCAGATCCTGCCTCCTGATTTTAAGTTGGCTGTAGCACAAGCACCTCACCTGGGAAGGAGGTGGGTGTAAGCTGTGCAGTGGAACAGTTTCATCTTCATCTGTACCTAGGGTAGAGTTGCTTTAGCAGAAAAATCTCCTTTCATGAAGGCTGTTTCACTTCCCAATTCAGACTGCAAACGAAATGGAAAAATTAGGGCAAGCACAGAAGAGCGAATGCCCGGGCTCCTCTCAGCATTCCAGGTTGAGTGATCTGCAGGAAGCCGTGGTAAGTAACATGCCTTTTCTTTTATCACTGTGGGAAAATTAGGGGACCGGTCCAGGCTGGGAAAGTACATGGAGGGAAGAGAAAAAAGGTGGTGAAGGAGGAGGAGGAAGAGGCATGTAAGTTTAGTTCCCATGTGGCAATATTGGCTCTGCCCTCATTACCTGCATCACTCTCAAGTACCTCAGAGTTGAAGTTCTAGGATAGGACTACATTATTTTATGCTCCCCTTGTAGCAATGTCATTACTCACTAAATTAAAAACAAAATAAAGTCAAACACATTCTACCTTAATACAAATCTATGCAGCATTCGCAGATGCTTAACTTCAAAGGCGCGCTCCGCCAGCTGAAGGATCAAGCCATATGGAAGCTGCTGCTCCCAAGGTCCCCAGACTGGGAAATGCATTTTCCATTAGATGCTCTAAGGCAATGACAGCCGAGACTTCACATACAAGCTAACTGCCATAGAAAGAATACTCTCAGGCAAAAATGTGCTCTTTAATTAATATAGCAACACCTTGATTGGACCAGATGGTCACCACTTTCTGGGAAGTGTCTCTGAGCTGTCCTAGAAGCCGAAACACTCAATCTGTACTTCATTTTTGAAGCCAAGACCAAAAGTGTCAAGTGTCAATTGTCAAGCACTCTTGCCTTTTGCTGAGGAATCTGGCCTGAATAAAGGCTCATAAGCTCAGTAACAGTAATGCAGACAGGTCAGAGTCTGACTTCCATTGGATTTTCATGCAGAAACTACCTAAACAATGTATGTGTTAGGTCAGCTGCAATCCTACTTGTACTGAACATCAAATGGAATCTTTGTCCATGACTCTGGCTTCCAATGGCACTGCCTGCAGAGTGAATAGCCACCAACGCTAACTTCATATGTTAAGACATATTCTTTTCCTCCTGCAAGAGACATTGTTAGGCAGGAAAAGATACCAGAATAATTATCAGGATATTTGAAATGAGTCCTTGATACTTCTTGCTGACCAAGGGAAACTTGGCTTTGATTTGCAGAGCTGATGGCACCCCTCTGCCGCAGTCAGATTCTTAGGTTTGCTCAGAAACTGCTCGTAATCTCGCACAGAAGTGTAAAAACTTCTAAGCCTCTGCATCAGACGCTTAGTTTGCATGTCTTATTCCTGGAGAATAGTCTGAACTATGTGGTCTTCTTATTTCTAGCTGCTTAATAACATTGAAAACAAATTAAAATTTTTCCACATGCAGCTTTTCCAATGTAACACATTCCTGGAGTTGCTACAGGAATATTTTGCAATGAAAGGGGAGGTGTCTGGAAACAGTCCACCTGCACGGAAAAAGCTTTTCAAATTATCTTAATAATTTCCTAAAGAAGTTGGTAGTGAGCACAAACACAAATACACCTAGCTAAGACACGTAAGGGAATAAAAATAACACATTCAGACAGCGCATCTGCCCAAAACACCTCAGGCTTTCAACTCAGAGGCAAGAACAGAAATTAATATTCACGTAGGAGACCAGATCAGCAGGATGTGACACAGGAGCATGGTTTCCATTCCAGCAGCACTAAGGACACAGCGAATGGCAACAGGGCAACTGTGCCACTCCACGATGACCCCGCAGTACTTCTGCAAGCACAGCTTTCTTGTCTCTGCTCTCTCGGCCAACTGCTTAAGCTCACAGAGACATTCTACATACTGATGCTTTGTGCAAGTTCGTGCTGCTTGGCCTCAACTGCTGTCGAAGCGCAGTGCTCAACAGCTGTGGGGTTGCACTCCAAGAACTGCTGCAGGGGTGGACCATTAACAGATGCAAGGTTGGTCACGCACTTTGGGATGAAAAGGGCCATTCTAAGTGCCAGTTACATTATACTGTATGATCAGCTCCACGGGCAGGTGGCAGAGAGATCATGTCGGGTCAGATTTATGTCATTCTAATCCTCCTTCCAGCGGAGACCACAGTATGAATATTTTAGCATCTGACCAGGCTTTAAGATTCCATCATCAAAGTTTTTTTTTCTCTTTAGAAAAACTATATGATGTGTGTTTACAGGAAAGTCTGATCGAAGGAGAAGCTAGACGAAAGAAGATTTAAATCCACAAAGCCAAACGGAACAACGGACCCAGAACAAAATTTCAAAGCTATGTTAAAATCAATTCCTCTTCAAATGGCCTTTGCTTAGATTGCATTATGTGAATAAATACTCTGAAGCTGCATTTAAATAACAGAAGATAATTGTTGTGTAGATTACTAGCTTATATGTAAAAGGGAACACATTCCAGGCCAGTGGCCGGGACTCAGCAGCGTAGGGTCTGCTTTGTGTCCTGCAGTGAAAACTTGGACGTGACAGCTTTTGTTTCACATGGACAGACAATGCCTGCACAAAGGCACTGCCTGATCTCACTAGTCTCTGGATAAAACAGAAACACAACTTTGTTAAAAATCAAGAATAAACTTACCGTTGGAATGTAATTCCACTCGCACCTCAGTAGTCCGTGTATGAAAGACTTTTATATGCTCTTTTTTTACTGGTTCAATCATAAAAACTACATTTATTTTAAAAAGGTATTTACAAACTTTACAACAGTTAATACATTTTTAAAAACATGAAAATTTATACACCTTGCTTTACAGACTTAGTGAATCATATGTCATTTACCCAGAGAGATGCAGACTCCCTTTCCAAAGCTTAGCTCCTACTCTTTCTTCAGAGCCAGTTTAAAAGCTGTATTTTTTGCTGATTGAATTGCAGAGGACTAAAAGAAAGAGGGGGGAAAAAAAAAAAAAAAAGTATTTGCAGTCTGCAGAGGTGGGTTTTATGGGTTTTATAACTAAACCATCACATCCAGGATCTCAAAACAGTCACAAAAACACGTTACCCAGCATCCATATCCTCCTGAATTCAAGAGGAACACGTCCCAAGGTTTATCATGTCGTTAAACCTTTATAATACCAACAATGAAAAACAACATCAATTAATACCATGCATATTGGGGCTGAATTTCAGAGCTGCTGAGGACTTACATTTTTGTTTAAAGAATGCAAAAACTGCAGACCATGCATGTGAAAAACAGGTTCAAAGTATGTGGTCATGCATGTCCAGGGATTTCAATGACGGCCTTAAATCTGAAGGGTCAGACCAATACAGCATAAACAGGAGCTTTTCATCTTTTGTTAAGATCCACTCTCCTCCTTTGCTCACTCTCTACAGGGCCCAGCACACTGTCCTAAAGGTGCCTGACTGTTAATAGGAGCAGAATGAGGAGAACCTCACGTGCTTATGGAAAGCTCCTCTCCTGCCGTGCAATCAATGAAATCACCTTATTTGTTTACTTTTTCTTTCTGATGTAGTCCTAGGAAAAGCTCGCCCTGGTCCACAAGATAATTTGGTCTGCAACAGTAAATGTAAGATAGAGAAGATTTTAATTAAAAGAAAAAAAAACTGAAAGAAGGTAGCAGTAATGGGTCAGGAATGTTTTCACTATTAAAAAAGATTACAGTTAAATTACAGACATCTTAAATTTATCATTTCCATTTACAATTATAAAAATAAATAAGGAGAGAAAATCTGAGCCATTATCACTACAAGTCTAACTTACTGTTAGTCTGTGGAACACACACTGGGCTGCACTGTGTGAAGGTTATTAGATGCAGGTTCTCCAAACCACCGCATATACATTACAGTATTTTCTGCTACTGCAGATCAGAGAGCTGCTCTCACTGGAATCGGTGTCCTTTCCTAATCCAATAATCCACTGAAATGGAAAACTGTCTGTTTCTCTCTTCCCCTGATGTGGATTACAGCCTGTAACATTTTTAAAGGAATTTCTCACAGCATGACAAATTTTAATTAAAAGCTCCAGAAAACAAGTGTTGAGCATATTTCTCCAAAGAAAAAAAATCCTCTAAGACTTGAAATTTAACACTAGCTTTGAACAGCATGGCTATGAAATGGGATTAGATTTTGTCTTCTCTGCAGACTGGATATTTAACTTTGAGATTTGTTTTATTCAAAACTATGAATTGAGTAGAAATGCTACTGTTTGCTTTCATTTCTGGCATGCAGAGATGACATCATTATGGACTGTTCTCCTACTCCCATTTTTAGCCCTCCAGTTTAAAAGACATCAGATGACATTTCCAAAAGCATCGAATTAACATGGAAAAGATGATTTTCATTTTGAAAACTAAGACCTTAAATTGTCTCTGAAAATTAAATCTCGGAATTTAAGTCAGGTAGGTAGTGTAGCAAAGAGCAGAACACTTAAAAAATCAGGGGTCTGGTGGGATTTCTCATAAGAGTGTGGGCACTTCATTCTACTTAATTAAAATCAGTCAGGCCCCATGCTTATTCACACACTTAAATGTCCAACTGCCTTTAAAAATCTGACACTTAGAAGACAATACTTTCTTTTAAAACTGGCACCAAGCCCTAAACCATTTAGGCACAGCACAGAAATTCCATCTTGTACCTCTAAGGAAACTATGCTGACTTTCAGCTAGGACCATAACTCTTCACATGCCACAGTCAGTAATATATTTAAGAAAACTGAACTCCTGTTTGTGAGCTGGTTTGCCAAAAGGCAAGAAGAACTGGGAAGAGTTGACAGCACTTCAGACTCTAGAACAAAAATAATGCTAAGAAAGAAAAAGATTTTAAAATCCCCCCAACCTTAAATCCCTTTTTAGCATAGCAAAATTTGCTAATGAAAATGCCCAAAGTATCTCGGGAAGGGAAATCTCCTCGCTCTGTACTCTTCAGCATCAGCTGTTCCTTTCCTTCCAGTTAGGGGGATGCCTCAGCTACCAGTCTCCAGCCGGCTGGACAACAAAGGCAGCAAGAAGCAAAGCCACCGAGCACACCCAGACAAACGTGGGGACAGAGCGCAATCACAAGGCAGAGCAAACAGGGAGATAGAACCTTCGCTGCTTCTTGAGGAGCTGGCTCTCCAGCAAAAGCCAAAGACCAAGATACAAATGAAAGACCCACTTACACCGCTGCTCAAACTGCACAAAGCACTGAGGCTTCCTAGACCCCGGCCAGCGCTGGGCTGGGGTACAGGCAGCACCCCCCACGCTCCCCTGACTCTCCAGGTGACTTGGGCACCTTGCGGGCTCGGGTGTTAGCCCCAAGGGCCAGCACCCAGGGGAGACAGCAACTGTTCCTATTCCTAATGGCTGGCGGCTGGGGGACCCAAGGAAGGCGAGGGGAGGGGATAATTAACCACTTACATGTTAAGTACCCTGTTCATAAACCTAGTCCATAAAACTGCAAAAAAAAAAAGCAGTCAGAACCAAGTCTCCTGAAGTTAAGGAGCATTATGTAAAGGGTCATTAAAGATCAGATGAAAAATTCTTCCCAAGGTCAGACTTCCTCCTGTGGGATTTTTTGGCATGGACTAATTCCCTCCTCCAGGAAAATAAAAAAAAAATGCTGAATGTACAAGGTATATCTACGAGTTAAAGTTATTAAAGCAGATCAAACAGGTAGGAAAATAAGACTCAAAAAAGTCACCTGGAACCAAAATACCTAAACCTGATAGCCAGTCTGTTTACCCAGGACAGACAAACCGTTAGCTGCGATTCCAGCAACGTCTCCTTTGTTTCTGATTTACCAAAGGAGTTGAAACTAAACCTTCTCTGAAAAGGAAATGCACCTAAGAATGAGGTAACGGGCAGATGCAGACTGGGGAAAGGCACCGTAATTCACAATAGGTGGGGTTAATGTTTTCTGCAATTCAGACCACATCCTGCTGTTCTGCCTAGAGCAAAATTTTCAGAGAAGACAAAAAGTTCTTGTTGAGGAGTTTCAGAGGGTCCTTTAGTTCATGTGTGCAGCAGAAGGAAGGAGAGGAAGAAGCGGACAAACAATGAAAGACAAGAAAACCCTGTGGTTTTCAAGTCAAGCAGCATCTACGTCCAAGAACATAATGTAGAGCTGACAAGTCCTACAGTGCACCAGAAAGGGGGGGTGAACCATCGTCAAGATGTCCAGAAAGGTTTCAGAGATTTCCCCTGAGAAGGCACCAGCCCAGAAGACAGTTGTGTGTGTGCTGCAGCAAACGTGACTGCGGAGGCAGGGGATGTGCCTGCAGCACAACTTCAAAATGTCTCCAACCTCTTCTGTGATCTGACTCCACTATGACCCTCTGATGAAAGCAGTGTGTTTTACAGAGCCATGCAGGCAGCAAAGCAAATGCAGCTTCTGCAGGTTTGTTTTTTTTTTTTTTTTTAACCGGAGTCACACTGAAGCCGAAGAAAAGTATAAGAACAGAAAAAAGCACAACTTCAGTCTCAACAAAAAAAAACAGGGTTTCATCAGTTCTGGTTTTCCCCCAAAAAGGCTTTGCTGAGAAAAACTCTCATTAGGTTTAATGAACTTCCATTTTTCAGGAAGGTAATGAAACACATTTAAGTCATGTGAGTAGAATAATGGTGCAGTGGCCTGCAGAAACACCCCAACCCAATGGTATTTGTATTTACTACTGTGAGCAACATCCTCAGCAGGGTTTTAGTGGATCTCCCGAACTTTTATCAGATAATCAGAAGCTAAATGACAGTTACAGCTAACAAGCAAAATTATTTCCTGGAAGAGAGAGCCCATGACAGAATATTCATCAACACTGATGATAAACAGGCCACACGCTGTAACCAAATAGCCAAAGTTTTGTATAGGCTCAGAAATAAACTTGGATCCAAATTCCTCATTGGTGTCTCCTTATGAAGAGTTTTAAGAAACTCTGAACTTTCCAGAAAGTTTGAATCTAAACTTTGCAGGCACAAAAAGTTTGGATCTAAACTTTGCAGGCAAACTCCCGTGTCTCCCGAGTTCCACAGTGGGAGGGAACGATGAGTGATTTTTTTTTTCCCTTCCCTGGAAAACATCAGTGAAAAGTAACGGCTGTGACAAAAGTTATGTTTATAAATAGGCCAGTCACACAGGCACAATAGCACGGCAAAATATTCTGCCTGAATGTGACAAGAGAGTAATCCTTACAAATCAAGAAAACCATAAACTTCCTTGGCTTTTCTGCTGCTGGGACACACAGCTCCAACAGGCAGCTGCACCTTTTCGGGGGCTGGGGGGTGTTGTGTATATAAAAAAGGTTTCAATTATGTAGCTTGACAAGAAAACTAAACTTCTTCACAGCGCATTAGTTCTGAACCAGGCCGTTTAGGAAAGTCCTGCTCCACCCTGCAAAAAAGGTGCTGTAACTATCTCTGAAGTCCTCTGGATCTTCTACGAGCAGAACAGACTAGAAATACACTGCAAGAGAATTTTGAACTGAACTGGTTTAGGGGCTGCAGAACTCCCTGGATGCCCGTGCAGGGGAGCAAGTCCCCAGCCCAGGGCTGCAGCCCCTCTACCAGAGCTCAGAGCCCTGGAAGGTGCAAGGTGGACCCGCCAACATTAGGAGTAATAATCACAAATGGTCCTGTTTTTTACCAGCAAGATTTTAGTGGCAGCTGAGGCACAGAGGAA